AACATAACCCCTGCCCTCTAAGAGCTGATAATATTAGCAAAGAGAACGAGAATGTAAATAAATAACAACAGAGACAACAAAGTGTTACTGGGATACTGAGAAGGAAGAGATGCTAGGAAAGAGTCATGAAGGAAGAATCATTTGAGATGATCTTTGAAATACAGGGTAAAGAACAATATGAACACAAAAACATTTGAAGACATAATGAACTGATACACAGTGAAGTAATACCGGGAAAAAATATGCATGACTGCAACAATGTAAATAGAAAAATTTAAAAACCCTGAAAAATGCCTGAAATTGAACATTGTGTAAATTAGGATGAGAAAATCTATTTCCCTCCTTTTGGCAGAAGTCGGGGGAACTTCATGGTTGGAACATGGCATACACTCAGATTTTTTCATGTGTTCATCAGTCTAGCTTAACTGCTTTTTCCTCTTTTAATTCTTTGTTACAAAGGATGGCTCTCTGAAGAGAGGGAAGTATATAAATCTATACGGAAATGCAAGTGACATAAAAATATTTTAAAGAAAAGGTTTACATATAAATATATAGGTATATATACACACACCTATATATGTGTATGTGTATACATATATATATATAAATATATGGAAATGCACATAATATAAAAAAATTAAGAAAGCCTTCAATAAGAATAAATACAGGGATAAGCAAGAAAGAAAGCATTCAAGAGAACATGATCAAAGACTTGGGGCCAGAAAAATGAAAAAGATAGGGCATGCTTGGGGAACAGTAAGTCAATAAAAAAGTTTCAAGGACAGTGATGAAAAGGTTTCATATGATGCAGAGAGGGCATGATAAAGACTTAAAGTCAATGGACTTGATAATTGGTCACTGATGAGAGCAGAGCCTGGAATGCAAAAGGTTAAGGAGTGAGTGGTGGGCAAGAGAACGAGCCTTTAAGTTGCTTGCCAGTGAAAGGAAGTTGAAAGAATGGCAGATTGAAGGTGCAGCTGATTTTCTTAGGATAGGATCCTATCAAGTTTGAAGTTAAAAAAAAAAAAAGATAGCACAGAGGGGAGATGCAATAATTGATAAAAGAATATGCCAGAGAAAGTGGGAAGGGCAAGAAGGGAAATTTCTTGCTCAGAACAGGAGTGAAGGAAGAGAAGATAAGTAAACATACAGAACATATGGAGAGGCAAGGAAGTTTAGAGGTCTCAAGTCAGTTTTTCATCAAAAAGCAGAAGTGGGATGAGGGAAGAATGACAAGAGGTCTGAACATGTGAGCAATGTGTTAAGTAAGAAATACATAAAAAGACTACAAAGCAGCAGTGTGGGTCCAGCAGATTACATTGTACACATATACAGTGGTACCAACCAGTTAAGTTTCATGACATTCTCCAGCAATGAATGAATATCCATCCACAAGCAGATTGGAATGATTCCCTACTGGCTGAGGTGAAGATGTAGCATTCTAGAGCAGAACTAAAGGCACTGTTGAAGAAGTTTATTGTAGACAACTTTTTTCTTGGGCTGTTGTTTACAAAAGAATTGAACCCAAATTTTCTCCCATTCAATGTGTTTCCTAAATAAAGAAAAAAGTTGTAATGCAATTTTAAAGAATATCTAAGATGTGGGAATTTGCTAAAAATTTAAAAACTCCAATCTTCACGTCAAAATAATGGTAGAATGTCGAGTGCTGGACTTGCAGTCGGGAAGTCCTGGGATGAAATCCAGTCTGATACCACCCATGTGACCCTAGGCACATCACTCAAACTAAGCCTTAGTTTCCACATCTGTGAAGTGGGGATAATAGCACCTACTTCATAGCACTGTTATAAGAATAAAATAAGGTAAGAAATGTAAATTGTTTTGCAAATCCTAAAGCACTGCTTTAATGCCAGTTCTCATTACTAATGATCTCTCCAACACACACTGCAGCAATAAAACTGTCTAAATCACCAATGAATATGAACATGAACCAGATAACTACTGAAAACAGTGATGTTGGCACACTATCAGATCTCACAGACAATGGAATTATTTGTAGCCTGTTTCTTCATCTGTAAAATGAGGGGGTTAAACTAAATAATTTTTAAGGTCCGTTCTAGCTCTGATAGTTTTCTGACTTACAACCATAAAAAACCTCATGACCCCCTAAAAAAATCAACTAATATAATATATAATAATGGAAGAATGAAGAAAATGCTGTTAGTTTGAGTTTGGAGGTGGGTGACACAATGAGTTTAATCAGATAGGTTATCCAATACGCTTTTTAAGCATATCCATGGGTGCTTTTTAAACAGATTCTTTCTTCACCTGTGTTTCTCCACTTTCTCAGCAGGTGTCACCATAACCACGACAAGCATTCCACAGCAGGGTACATAACTTTATTTTTCTAGCATAATAATTTAAAGTATTTACACACTGCACACTCACTCTTTTACACAAATACTTATTAGTATATCCATGAACCACATCTAAAAGTTTCCTGTGAAGTCTTGACACATTGTGAGGGTTTCCAAGCACACAAAGAAATAGAAAAGAACTGAAGGCTTCTTAAGGCAGTCACTGGAAGCATCTGTGGAAAATCCGTGTTCCTTCCACGCTTGAGTTCCCCAGGAGACCATTCACCAGCTTCGGACTATCCACCCACATGTTTGGGGTGAAGGGAAACTTTTTTTTGGCTAATGGTGGATTTCAGGAACCAACATGTGCAAGTAACATTTTCTCCAGAAACCAGGGACAAGGAACAGCAGAAAATTAACTTAACCCTCCCCTTAGGGAAGAACTTCCATTTCTGAAACTTAATGATCTGTGAGACCTAGGGATGACAAAGTAATGTACAGGTATTCTAGCAAGAAAGGGAATTGGTTAAGTATACTGTAAGAGAGTTAGGTACTTACACCCACAGTGTGATTATGCACCAGGAATATGGACCACTTCCATTTATCCTTTCATATGAAATACAAAGATCAGCTTTATTTTTTCAGATCATTAATACAGGCACTTTTTTTCCTCCCTGAAAAGGACCTAAAAGTGTAGAAAAGTGATGGCACACCTTTCAGTCCAAAAGTCTTCAGGGTCTCACCTATTGCTTTGAGAAATGGTCTTTCTTCAATTTGATAACAATTTGTGCAAAACCTATGATTAAAAAAAAAAAAAAGGAAATTTGTTCAGATTTGTTCACTTGATTTGAAGGTAGAGGATCGAGGTTCAAATCCCAAGTTCTATTACTTAACTATGTCACTCTGGCAAACCAATTAACCTCAGGACTCTGGTTTCCTTATCTGTAAAACCAGGGGGCTTGACTAAATGATTTCTAAGATCCTCTCAAGATCTATTTCCACTGAACTAGCTCTAGATTATGTGTCCCACTTCTGGCACGCATGGACTTTGAGACCCTAGGCAAGTTACATAACCTCTAAGTGCTCCTACACAATTCTCTAAGGCTACAAGTTTCAGAGACGGTGCTAACCTGCCTTGGTAGAAGAACGTCCTCATCTGGAAGTTCCCTACACCACTGAAATCAAAGGTTCAAGTCCCTAGCTCTGGAGTCATTGTATCATTCTATGTGACAGTCAGGATTCTTTTCAACATTTTCCCAGACCGAGCACCAACTTGTTCTCTCAAGCTCTTGGATACATGAATAGACAAGGAGCCAAAGATATCTATCTCATCACAGCCCTAAATTAAAACTAGCATTTCTCAGTGCAAAGAAGCCTCAAATCACTCAAAATTGTTGCTGTGCTGAACTCCAGCCAGCTTCCTCAGCTGAAAGAATGAAAGCAAGACTTGGTCATTAGCTCTGCTATGTCTACAGGCAAAGTGATGTGGAAGAGGGAGGCAGTTACTTGACAAATATAAGCTAAACACAGATTTATATATTATCAAAATTATCCAAATGCAGATAAGCGGTCTTGGTTCCACCTGGTGCAAGAATACACTTCAAGCCACAATGAGGTGGTCAAAGATTCACTTTAGTCTGCTTTTTCTTTTAGGTGGAAGAATGGGGGCAGGGTGGCATGGATAAACAAGAATTAGAGCTCTGGCTCCCAGACTTTTGAAAACAACACTGAGTTAGATGGATAAATTACTACTCTTTAAATTCATTTAAAGGTCCTGGGAGAGAAGCTGATGCAATGACCTGGGCAACAACTACTACTTTAACCAATTCACCATGTCAGCATAAAAAAGCTTATATTGTCATTGCTTCCATGCCCCATTCCATCTTGGATACCTAGACACAGTCCTAACTGGGGAAGGTGACATGTATGAAAAACTTGGAAAAGAACAGCAAAGGGAAAAGATGGTAAAGAAGACTATGAGAAACAATATAATGACATTTAGAAAGATGTTCAGGGGAAAAAAGGTTGATAGTACATTAGGGGACAAAAATTTTGACTCAGAGAGAGCCTTTTTCTTCTCTCTAAAGACTAATTGGCAAAAAATGTCAGTGTAAGATTGGCAGTTGGGATCTCTTCCTCAGCAGTCTGAGATAAGCACATATGCTTAACACTGGCTGAAAGATGGAGGAAAATAGGATGAAGATATAGTTTAAATGATCTAATCAGCTTGATCTATAAAAATAAAGAATGTGATTTTTATGAACGTGAAAATTGAGGTCCTTGGCAACACAGCACTAAGAATCAGGTAAAAAAATAGTAGTAATGACCATATCTGCATCTTAAGTAGGCCTTCTTCAGAGGGAGTACTGGGTGTGGTCTCTGTGTGTATGGACTATACATATTAACCATATACACACATAAATATTTAATATATAAAAAATAAAGTGCTTTCTAACAAGTCCCAATGCAGGGACATTATAAAACATTTCACAAAACTGCAAAGCAAAATTGATACAATCAAAGAATACTACATCCAACATACATGAAAAACAGTCCAACACAATATGTACAATCTGGTGGGTGTCCCAGGACAAACATCCCTTCATATACATGGTATATACATATATACTCTTATCTTTTTACTCAATATATTATGACAATATATATTTTAAAACTTTTGTTGTAGACAAAAAAAAAAAACAACAGAAAACCCTACAAAAACACCACAAGAATCAAGCACATGAGTCTAAGACTGACAGACAAGTTACTGCTTCCCATCAGGCCCCCAATGCCATTGCTGGGGAAAATGTGCCAGCGTTCCTTTCTAGGGTGCAGTGCCTCCACATCCTCCAAGGCACTGTGAGCTGCTGCAGTGAAGTTGGCATCACCGGTGGTGAGCAAGTCGAAGACACAGGAATGAAAATAGATGTCTTTCACTGGCATCTTCTCGTGGCATTGGGTAGTGGCGGTCTCCAGTGTATACCCAGGCCAGGCTGGGGCTGAGGCAGCTCGGGGAAGCATCTGCCCCATGATAGCAGACACCTGCCCCTGCCCATCATCAATGCGCTCACTTGAAGGACAGCCATTCACACAGAGCTGCAGATCCTGGCTTTCTTCATAAGCCATAGCCAGGCTCTTGGGCATGCGGATGGCCAAAGTTAGGTAGCGACCCAACTGCCGCACATACACTGTGGTTCCTATGTACCTGGCATGCATCTCCACGTGGTGGCCGCTCACCTTCTCCACAATGTGCAGGCTTTTGATATCACCATCCCCACCGCTGGTGGAGCCATCAACAAAGGCTGCTGGCAAGTCATCTGTCACGGCTTGGTATACTTTTTGATCGGTACACTCATGGTGGGATTTGAAGATAATAGTTATCTGTGGAAAACAGGAAGGAAAGAGTTGTAGTTTCATTTTTTTAAAGCAGAGAAATATAAGAATCACAATATTGTGGCTACTCAGTAGTCATGGTGTTAATGGCAAGGGGTCATATTTACTTGGACACCCGGTGCCTCTGCCTTCAACTCCAAATCATCTACAGAGATCATGTTGGATACTTTCATGTTGTCGTTTTAGTACAATGGTTAGGAGCCCTCTTTATTCAGAACCAAATTTTAAGGCAAATGCAGGGAACATACACAAAGGAAAAATTTTTTTTCTAGGATGGAGAGCAATGCTATCATGAAGACTATAGTAGCTCTAGAACATAATTTAGTAGGTAGCAAATAGAGCAACAAAATGCAACAAAAATGTAAAATCTAGGCTAACATCTATTTATGGTTCTTTTAGTCAAAACTTTTAAAGAAGTCTTTAGCAGGACGTTGCTTTATCCCAATAAAGCATGGTGATATTATCTACTAGAAAGAATGAATGGATAGGCTCAAAAATTACTAGAATTCAAACGTACAGCTCTCATACCACCTGAGCCCACCCCCCTGACCATTGCGCAGAACCCCTCTCGGGGGACACACTCAGGCCTCTTCCTCTACTCCCATCCTACTCGATACAGCCATGCCTCCCTCCTCTTCCTATTTCCACCCGCTTTTTTTGTCCCATTCCTCATTCCTTCCCAAGAAGGTTCTCTAGTCTTCTTAAAATGACAATTAACTAAACTAATAAATTAATTGTGCTAATGGAAGAATTTAGGAATTCTTCATGACACTCTTTAGTCCTGGGGTTACCAGTCAAACCCCCGCATTTTAAAGATTAGGAAAACTTAGGCCTATAGATGTTAAATGACTTACTCAAAGGTTACACAGCTAATAAGAGGCAGAGCCAGGATTCAAACCTTGGTCCTCTGACTCCAAATCCAGAACACTTTATACTATACTGGACTAGTAAGGATTCTTCTCTTTTAGACTACAAAGTAATCAGATAAGGACACAGTAAAACTGTTAGTCATATCCATTGCCAAATATAAATATTGAGAGTAGAAGTAGAAAGCTGAAGTGAGGGAAATCCCAATAATAGTTACCAAGCATGTGTTTCTAAGACAAAAATTACTTAATAGTTGGAAACATTTCCCGTCACATCCCAGCAGGGGAAGTACTGCGCAATATGCTTCTAATGCATGCTGGTAAGGTAGAAAGAGCTTGACTTGTAAAAGCAAATGTTTCCCTCAAACATCACCTTTATTCTGGACACTGGCCCTTTTGTTTTCTTGGCAGGATGTCTCTTAATTAACTGCACTACTGCAGAACAAGAGATTACACAGTGAGGAAGAAGATCCATTGGTATCAGTAAATGATATTTGATAGTATTCTTTTTTGGTTTGTTTTTGCTAGGCAATGGGGTTAAGTGACTTGCCCAGGGTCACACAACTAGTAAGTGTCAGGTGTTTGGTCTGAGGCCGGATTTGAAATCAAGTCCTCCTGACTCCAGGGCCAGTGCTCTATCCACTGCACCACCTAGCTGCCCCGATAGCATTCTTAATAGACAAGCAACAGGAAGAAGGAAGAGGAACTTGTCCCAATCGGTCTAAAGTCTAGTGCCTTCCCTTTGTTGATTATTTTCAATTGTTCCTGATATATCTTGTTTGAACATAGTAGTTTTCCGTTACCTCCCCCATTAGATTGTGAGCTCCTTGAGGTCAGGGACTTACTGTCTTTTGCCTTCTTTTGTATTCCCAGAGTTTAACACGCTGCCAAGCAATTTAAAGACAGACTACTGACTGACACAAGATAAATATCCTAGAATCCTAGATTTGGAGCTAGAAGGGAACTTGGAGGTGATCTCATCTAACCCCCTCATTTTACTGACATGGAAAATGAGGCCCAGAAAGCAGCAGCACTAAGATTTGAACTTCCAATTTCAAATCCAGTTCTATTTTTCTTTTGTACCATAAATCAGTTCTGAATAATAAATCAACTGTATTCTGAAGTTTTACCTAATCTTTAACATCATGAATACTCTATTTCCACTAACTTTTCCCTTCTTCTGTCCCTAAATGAGGAAACTACCATGAGGGACTACAGAATCTAGCACTGGAATCAATGTTAAAGGACATCTGGTTCACTGCCTCATTTTACAGATGAGGAAAACTGAGGCCCAATGAGGTTAAAGAGAAAAATCAAAAGAACAACTCCTGCTAGAGAGGCCTTAAACTAGCACAATTCTATGTACTTCCCATACTACAGGTTCTCACCCCTATTGTCAAGCTTGTCTCATTTGCCCAACTTAGCCCACATTTACTCACACAATTTAATTTCACATGTTCCCACTAGTGCTGCCTGACCGGAATTTTCCAGACATTTCATTTTGCTTCATTCAGGCACTTATAAAGTCAGATCTGAACCAGCTGCACCATGGCAGCTGGTTCACAATTCACATCCGCTGTCTGCAGCTGGGACTGAAAAACACAGCTCAAAAGCAGACAATGCACTATGAAAATGCTGCATTTTCCCACCTCCTATTACCCTGAACCACAATTTCATTTCACTACCAGTCTTCTCACATTTCAACACCCATACCACTGTAGAGGAATGGGAGCAAAGATATTTCAGCAAACTGACTGTACATAAGAACTTCATATGTAAATAGGGTCTGTGGAATTAGGCATTTATCAGGTCTACTAAATAGTTTTATTTCACTGTTCTAAATTCAAACAGCTTGACAAGCATGAGACCAACACTATATGACAAGGAGCAACTCAAATCAGTTCTGTACTTGAGCAAGTAAGGGGTTAATATGAAAGCCAGCAATCATGAGAATCAGAACTGGAGTTTTCATATAATAACTACCCTTATTCTCAAGAATTACAACATCAGCACTCAATGATTAAATGAACATTGCTTCAAAGAGCCAAGCAATTTGTCTTTCTAGTTTACCAAACTCTAAATTTAAACCAGTTTGGCATCATTTCCAGAAATAAGCATTTTTTGCTCACCTTGGGAAAAACCAAGAGGAAGTCATTTGGTTGGGACAAAAAGAAAAGCACTGATATCATCCAGCTCTCAACAATTTCCAAGAGAGGCAAACAAGCTTCAGTACAAAACATATGGAACTATTCACTAATCTTAACCAAGAATCTGTTTTATTCATGAACACTCTTATTTCAATCCAGAAATTTAACACACACACACACACACACACACACAATTTTATTTATCACTTGTACTTAAAACACTTAATATAGACTCCCACACATGGTTATCTTCGTCTGTTATGATGTTCAAAATATTAAGTTTTGTTCCTACTCTTCTGTACCAATGAGGAACTCTAATTACCCAAGACAAATGTGTCTCCCTTTTCAATTTCATGGGGATAATCTCTACAGGAGAAACTACAGTCTAGATTTTTCTTGGTCTGGTTTTCTACTGGGTAAGATGATCTCATACATAACACATATGTGGAATGATACCACTCTAGAAAGTGTCTAGATTAACAGATTCCAAAGCATAGTTTGGGATTATTTTAGGGGATTCCATCTAGTGTGTATCTGTTTATATGAGAGATGGTGGGATATAAAGAGAAAATGAGGATAACTAGACATACCAGAAGAGTAAAGACCAAAAATATCATGTCACAGAAAAAAGGTGTTGACTTTGGAATCAGAGAACCTAGGCATGAATCCTTCAGTAGCTGTTTACTATATCTTTGTGACAAGGGGCAAGTCTCTTCATGTCTCTAGTTTCTTCATCTATAAAATGGGGGAGGGGGGGAGAGAATAGAATGGGTGACATTCATGTTCCCTTTTTGCTCTAGATCAGAAGTTCCCAAACTTATTTGGCCTACACCTTTTTCAGAAAAAAAAAAATTTTTTTTTACTCAGTGTCCCCCTGGAAATCTACTTTCTTTAACCCTGGTTTTTGTTTGTTTTTTTTTTTTGTTTTTTTTTGAAATTTGCATCATTTAAAAAATATATAAAATATTTTTTGAAAAAAAAATGATGCATCTTAAATTTAACAATTTATTGTAAATTTGTGGGTTTTTTCTTACATTGAAATTTTGATGATGCAATATTGTGTCACGTAACTGTACAGTATTGTATTGTAAACAAGTCATTACATGCACACAATCCTGCCAATACATTCTGGACTTCCTGACAATGTGTGACATGCTTATCTGCCAACACTTGCTTATTAAGATCTGTCAGAAGCCTTGACCACTGATGGGTTATAAATTGCATTTTGTGTGTTTATTTGGAGAAGAATGTAATCACTATGACTTTAATGGTGTCATACACAGATGAAACATATATGAACAGTTTTTCAAATTTTCTTATTTTCTCTTCTTTCCTTATGCTTCCACTGCCCTCAACTAACTGCACCCAAGGCTACTACTGCCCCCCCATCATTCTAGCGCTCCCCAAGAGGCGGTATCAACCACTTTGGGAACCTCTGCTCTAGATCAATGATTTTATAAAATCATATCTTCATTCTGCTTCCATTTCAATTATGAAAAGATTTGCTTCCTTGTAACTATTAAATGGGATGAGATATCAAAAATTTATTTTCTCCTAATTAAGAACAGAAAAGTCTATTCATTCCAAGTAATTCTTTCTTAAAATACTTTAATACTACAATTTTTGTACAGTAAAGCACTTTTATGCTTCCAAATATAAATTATAAAAGCTTTTGTCAACATGAATGTAATTCTTGTAAATTTTAATCAGAACTCAGTGAATCTCTAACACCAGATATACAGTTTTTCTCTAGGAACTAATCCATATACTGTAATAACTCAATTTGGCACATCTGCTCTATGCCACACCATTTATTATTGATGGATCCTATGGCTGTGCATTTAAAACATCAATGCCTTTTGTTAAAACTTCCTCCACTCCACCCCTCTCAACCACCAATACTTAGACAAACTACTCCACCTCTTCTCATTCATTTTTAATGTTTTATTCCCTGTGATCTTCGCCACTCACAAAG